TAGTAGTAGTAGTAGTAGTAGTAGTAGTAGTAGTAGTAGTAGTAGTAGTAGTAGTAGTAGTAGTAGTAGTAACAATAAATGTTTATTATTTGCATCAAATAGTTCTCCAAATGAATGTAATTAGAGTTTTAAAGTTTTATTGTGAGTATGTCTATACTGTAAACAGTTATTGATACCTATATAAGATGATTTAACATTATTTTCTGGATCATATTTATTGGGGTRGGTGCCAATGTAAATCTTTTGAATGCCCATCACTTTCTTTTCAGTAAAAAAGCTGTGTTACTAATACACAAAAATTAAATTAAGAAGTCAGTTATCAAAAAACTGTTCAAAGTGACTATCAATTAATAAATGGTTTGTCAGAAAAAAAACAACAAGAGCTGTGCTTATCAGACAGGACACATTCTTCCTGCACTTATCCTTAAACATCTATTAAAAAGGCTAAAGCTTCTAAGGAGTTTAACAAATTTCCTTGTTTGCCAAATCTTTGAAAAATCCATCTTTGGACACCGTTGGAATAGTTTATGAGAGCACCAAAAGGAAACTTTAATAAGTGCATTAATAATTCAAACTTTAAAAAAGCTTTGTCATTCTGTACATATAGTTATTTTCTTATGTACATACTAGGACTACTATATTCTTGTTTACATCACTATTTACTCTCCTCCCTTTTCTTTCTAAGATAAGATTTTATTCTCCACAAATCCATCTGTATTGGCATTGATTTACCACAAGATGGAGTCCTGACTTCTACCTCAGGTCTGTAATGTCATACAAAGTTTTTACTTGAAGCTTTTTGTCCCCTTTTCCTCCCTCCAAACATGTAACAACAGTGCTTCTGTCACATGTGGATTTTTTTTTTTTTTTACAAATTATCCCTTTCTTCACAAAATTACCTTGTCATCAACTGCCATCAAATTGTTCATAATGTACATTCCTTAACAATGAACAGTAATAGTTAATGTATTACATGAATAACAAAGCTGTAGCCTCCTAATTGATCTGTCTCACAGAGGCATTTTTTCCCCATCATTTTAAGCATTGATGACATAATTTGTCGTGTATGAATGCTTCTAAGTACATGTGTTCATCTAGTGTTTGGGCCAGGGGCAGAAATTTGACCAAACTGCCCGTCCCCTGGTAATCTCCTCCATGCTCTTGAAACTGTGCTGAGACACAGCAAACCTTCTGGCAATGGCACAAATTAGTGTGGTGTCTTGGTTGATTTGCACTGCCTGTAAAACCTCTGTAGGATCCAGGTTCATTTAACTAACAGGAGGCTCAGAAGAACCATACACAGCTACAACAGCCTGGCACCTCCTCCTCACGGTGGTCACACACTGTGGGATGGCATTTCCTTCTTCAACCAATATTTGTAGCAACGTCAGCCAACAAACAGTTGTGTTGGTCACTCTGGCAGGAACAGCTCGCCTGAGATGATCCCACAAGTGCTCAGTGGGGTTAAGGTCAGGCCTACAAGTGCTGACGGTGAGAAAACGATCTTCTTGGGATGCCCAATTCGTAGCCTGTCTCTTGACAACCCTGGTTATGTGGAACTTGGCCTTCAATTTGGAAATGGTACCAGGGCTCACTCCCAATAATTCTGCAATGTTGTTTTGCCGAATACCAACTTGAAATTGCCTCATCGCATGAACCCTATCCAGATCAGTCAACTGTGGCATACCAAATTTTGGAGCAAATCCATGCTCACYGTTTTGGGCTTCTGGTACCCACAGGTGCCAGTTACCTGGGTACCAGAAACTCAAAACAAGTGTCAACAGCAAAAGCTGTAGCAATAGCTTAAAAAGCTGTTTGGCATTGGCAGAGAAGATTTGATGATGTTTTCGTGCGTGCAACCCTCATACTCATCTCTACTACTCATCCCACAAATGCATGTTCCTTATAAATGTGTCACTAAACATTTAAAATGGAAATTAACAGGCTTTTCAATGAAATAAAATTTATTGCCAAGAATCATTGTTACAACAAAGACATAATCTACCAAACACAAAGCTTCTTACTTTTAGTGCTTAGTTTAGATACTCCATTTATTGAATTTTTTGTAGGGGTAATAAAATTGGTTCTAGGACAAATTAACTGATCTGCACCYTATGTTTGGCAGGAAAGTTCTGCATAAACCCATGTGGATATATAATAGAATCTTGTCAAGTAGGAAGTAAAAAGCATGTCTTTAAGTCTAAATTGAGCCCCAGATTTCATCTTTTTTTAACCATATTTATGGTAATAAACTGGAAGTAGGCTAATAAACTTAGATTTTGCACCTAAACATTTTTTATCCACTTGGTGCTAAATGTTTTAAACCAGTGGTTCCCAAACTTTTTGTCTTCTGACCCAAAAAATATCCACAGCAAAAACTTGTGACCCCAAATATTACTGGTCTGAGT